GCTAACAAAGGCCATCTTTCCAAGTGTGTCAGCTCCCATAAGACACAGCACCTGAGGAGGCTGAGAAAAGTATTTTACAGAGGCATTTCCTCATTGAAATCACCATCACTTGCAAGACTTCTTTGCCAAAGAGGGAATGCACATTTCAGCTAAATGCTTAGCATACTTTGGGTGTCTGTGAAAGGAGCTGGATGAGGAGCAGCAGCAGCGCTGGGGGTCAGCAATTCCTGTACCTGCTGGCCCAAGAGCCAGGTGCCTCCCTTGGTCAGAGCCTTTCTGCTGCCTCACCCTACAGAGCAGTCGTTCTTCCAGAGCCCGCTGCTTGCCCTGAGTGCTCTCAGCAGTGCCAGAAGCCCCTGGGCTGGCAAAGGTAGGGAAGGGTCAATTCACAGTGCTCATCCTCCATCATCTTGAGGCTGATACTCTCCTCAGGACACAGATTATTCCTCAGGCTGAAGGACACCCTGTATATTTACATGCTATCTCAACTTTCAGGCACCTTAGAAGACATTCTTTACACAGCTGAGGGAAAATCCCTCCTTGCCTGCCCCTGGGACTGAGCACTGGACAAGCAGGAGGCAGCAGCATTTTGGCCAAGTCTGCCAGGGCAAGCCTGCATCTGACACATGCCATGAAAACAGAGTTCACACAGAGCAGAGAGGATTCCTGGCTTGAAGCATCTTGTCTGAAAATGGCAGACATTGTAAAGTACACAGGGCTGAATCTTTTGACCTTGGAGGGATGAAAAGCTGAGTCAGCCTTGCTGGGATTCAAAGCACTCAGAAGTCAGATATTTGAAACCTGTCTTTCATGCACCAGTCAGGAAGGAAAGAGCTATCTGGATTGTTTCTTAATTTATTTCATCTTTTCCTCAGAACCGAAGCTTTTCTGAAGGCTTTTTAAAAATAAGAAAAATTTTGCTTCAGGAAAACATATTTTGATACTCAAAGAGCAATTTATATGATGACCCTTCTGACATTATATATACCCATAAATAGGAACATTCCAAACTATTTTAAGTATTTATATTATACACTTTTAGCAGGTTTTTTTTTTAATGGATATGAAGTGGGGATGGATACTTTTATTTTTAAATCTCCAAAAAAATATAAAATATAAGACTGGATATGAAAATACGATATTCCACAGGTCTTTGTCCAGGAGCACAAATCAAACAGCACACATGCCTGTGCAGCAAGCCAGCTATAGGTAGCCCTTAAGCACTGACAAAACAGAAAATGATCACAGGAACAGCTTGGTAGGGTTAGAAACACAGCTGAGGTCTGCCTTGCCCTCTGCCAGTCTCCAGAGGCTGAGAAGCCCAATATGGGCTTTTCAGGAGAGCTCTGGTTCTTGACCATCATCCTGCTCTCTCACTAATCCACTCTCCTTTTGGCTCTCCATCCAGCTCAGCTTTTGCAACGATTCCTTCCTTTCCTGTGGCAGGAAAGACTTGGCCCAGTCTGGGTGACTCATAGGGGCAACATTGACAACTTCGTCATTTTCTGCAGCTAGAACCTGCTTTAATGAGTGTCTGTTTTTATAGAAAAGCACAAGTCACCTTTGCCCTGTCCAGTCCACAGAAATGTTAGTATTCAGAAATAAATTAGTTGCAAGATGATTTCTTAATGCCATCTTTTCATTCATGTATTATTAATTTTGTCCCAGTAACACCAGTATAATATCTGCAAAGTTATTATAAATGCAGAGACATTTCATTATAGAACATGGGCCATACTTACAATACCAATTATAAATATAATATTTTGAGAGAGAAACATGGTATCTTTTAATACACATGATTTTTTTCTTTTAAAAGCACCTCTGGAGCTTCAGACATTCTGCCCCACCCTGAAGCTAGGAGTACACAGCAGAGAATGGGGGGGAGGGGGCAGGAAAACAAGCCCAGAATTTTGCCAATATTTCTTTCATGATGCAGCAGTGACTTTTACAGAAAGGTGCAAGTAGACTAGGACATGGCATGGCAATTTTTAAAATTATTTCCAGTTCTTCCATTATTTTGAAGGAAATATTTCACCAGCATTTTGGAAGTGCCATCAATTCTAATCAATACCTGAGCATTTCTGATAGAGATTTCCTTTGACTAGACTTTCAAGGGATGGGTTTCTGAATCTAAAGATTCCTGATCTGTCAGAGGTGGGAGACACAGGACACCCACCCACTGTTCTACTGTAACTTGACCTACAAAAGATGAAGTTCAGAACATAGATTAAGTTCCCTCAACTCCTCTTTAGAGAAGAAAGAAAATTCCTTCCATTAAGGGCATGCTCTGATCCCCTCTATGTAGGCTTTGCATTGTTGTATGGTAAAAAGAAAACCCTACAAGCTGTTAAAATTGTACCAACTTCCACTGTGGTCAGGTTTTATCATCAGCTCCTACAGCTGCTTTGGGAAGAACCACACTTCTGTTTCTCTCTGCATTGAGTGCTAAGCTATATAAGAACTACTTAATTGATGATATAATAAAACCCTTCACAGCAAAGTAAAGATTAAACAGTGACATCCTTTCAGTTCACTAGTATACAGCCATCCCCAGCTCCATGTCAGTAGGATTCTGCATATACAGAAGAGCTCCAGCCTTCAGAGTAACAGTGCAAATGCAGCTACTTCAGGGAAGAATAGATGTATTTACAAAACATATTGCCTTCAGCAATGGTATAAGGCCAGCTGTGGAACAAAGCTGAAAGCAGCACAATTTTCACACTGTCATATGCTGTCTCACTTGTACCAGTTATGAATCTGCCTCAACAACAAACAAAATTGTATTATATCATTAGTGTTTCTACATTTGGTCATGCTCTGACTCAGGCAATCAGGCTTGCTTTTCATATTAACACTCCTTTTCCATATCCTTGTATACAAATCTCAGTGCAACACTTGGGCCCATACAAAAATTAACAGGAGCATTCTATAATCGAAGTATTGCACAGGAGTCAAAATTTGCCAAGATTACCAAAAATCAAGTAGTGTCATCACAGCTCCATTATTAGCAGGTGTTTCCCAGGGCAAACAATGCTGTAAGAAGTGTGAGGAATAGAGAGTAGCAGGACTTTTTTTTTTAAAAAAGTATTATTATTAGGGGAGAAAGAAATCCTTCACTGAGGGCTTCATAGTAGGTCATGCCTCCCTTAATACAATCAAAAGTTGTTGTTTTTTACCCAGTATGTTTCCACTAAGTTTGAACATTGATCTGAGAAATTCTAGCTGTGATCAAGTCACTTTAAAAATCTAAGAAAATACATTATTATTGATGATACTAAAAGCATAATATTTAAACCAGAAATATCTTACATCTGTAGCTTATTGGCTGTTTTTTTATGATCCCTAAAGTTGCACTTAAAGGCATTGCTCACCAGCTCTCCTCACACCAGATTCTGACTCAAGGCAGACATCAGCTGTCCCGCCCCACCCCCATCCTCCTGCTAACTCATCCCTTCCGAGTTTGCCTGATGGGAACACAGCAAGTGCAGGAGACCACTACTTTCATACTGTAAAATGCATCACAAATAAATCAAACATAACTCTAATCACTAATTTACAGTATTTTGCTTTGTATTTCTCAGTGGGGGAAAAACCCAAGAGATGTACCCAGATCATGCTGAAAAAAGCATGTGTGATTCTGTACAGACTGCCTAATTAAGATATAAGAGCTCTATTCCAGCTTGTGCCAGATAAGACCATCACACACACCCTTATGAAGAGTAGTCAGATCTCATTATATTTATTATTTTATCAAATAGAAGGGACCAAACTCCACAAATATTGATATCACTATAAAATTAACAGTTGCTTTTTTCTCGCTGCACTTTTGAAATATAAGCTACACAGGGAGAAACAGAGCCAGAGACCACTCCCTAATTCCTAGTGGACATATTGATCAATTAAAATGACATGTGTCTGCTCTTTTCTTTCCTTCTAATAGCAAGCAGCTGAAAGACAATATTTCAAACATGCAAAATCAAACAATGTTATTATATACCATCCAGCAAGATTAACTTGAATTTAAGCAAAATAAACCTAGCCTCCAGAAGCAAGACCTTAATACAACATAAATACTAGACATTGTAAAGAATTACTAGATACTGTAGACATTACTTTAACCAGCTTTCTAAATATAAAAGATATGTATTTTCTTCCCAAGACAGAGGTGGAAACCTTTTTAATTATTCCTATTATTTTATTCATTGCAAACCTTCTCAGAATGCTTGAATCTTTGGCTACACCTTTTACTGCAGTTGCAACAGAAAAAAAAAAAAGCTTGTTTTCTTTTCAGTAAAAGATAGATCTAAAGATTCACTAAACTCATATTATAATTTTAAAAACAGAGTCAAACAAAGTAAAACAGTAAAAGCACTAAAAGCTACTGTCCTTTCAAAACATTTGGTTATTGTTTGGCAATTAAATCTATGTTTTGTTTTTTTAAGAATGACAGGAGAAATAGGACAGTACTGAACCATGTTTAAAATCAATACTGTTCCAGTTGCTTGTTCAGCACTGTTTGCACAGTATTTTCTGTGCTATCATGCTATGGAAGGCCAATGAAAGTAAATAGGTGATGCTCATGCTATCGAGATAAAATAGGTTCAAAGAGGAGCTAAACATAATAGAAATGCTGAAATGAAGAGACAAGGAAAGGAACAAACTATGTTTATAGCATTAGAATTGAAAACAGCTATTCTTTCCATTTAAGAAAATCAGACAACAGCTACATTAATTAGATTGTGAAATTTAAATATATTATCTTCAAATATTCAGCCTATCATCACAAAAGCAAAGGCAAGTCTAAACATTCAGACTGAATGTGTTTTCTGTAGGCCTTTGTCTTAGCCTGTCTGACTGAAAATAATACTTAGGCATGCAGCATCTTTCTTCAAAATGATTTTTACAAGGCAAAACCCACACACTTACATTAGAAAAACCTTATAAAACAGGAAAAAATAACCCTGCAATTAAGAGCAGCACAATATTTAGCAACTTACCATGTCCTGTTCAAATCATCCTCTTTTGATGTTTACGGCACATCTGTAAGATGCAATACTAGGAGGTGCCTTGTGTGACCTGCTGCATGATGCTGTGACATCAGTTCAGATGATGCAGCTCATTATGGGAAAGACTGCTGTTGCTATGGCAACTGAGATGTGATACGAATCCTTACTGCATTTCCAGGGGAGTCCGAGACAATACGGAAGCCCTTTAAAGAAACAGACAAAATGCAAACAGGCTTTTAAAGTATGGTGCCACAGATTTTAGAGCCCATGTTAGTACATGCCTGTTGTTAAGGAATATTTTCAACAAATTATTCCTACTAGATGATACAGAATTGAGATATATGAGTTGTAAATTATTTCTATATTTAAAACTTAATACCATGTGTGTCAATCTAAGAACAAATTTTGTAAGTCAAATCTGGTTATCATACAAGGGAACCTTACTTAAAATAAACATTCAGTAGCAGGATCTTAACACTAAGGCAGTAGTTATTGAACAGTATTTTAAGAAATATATATTTTCACTCTGCCCCACCCTGCTCCTACATCCAATCTGTCACTTACAAGAAAAATCTTGTTGCTAGGGAAAAACACTTGATACTTCAAAATGAGCAGATTTAACACTGTTGAATGAATGACAATGAGTTTTAAAAAAAATGCCAGGGAGGTGGCTTTTTATTCAGAGGAGGGTAAAGAAGTTTCTAGCCAACCACATAAAAAAATCTCCTTATCATTTTTCAGCTGTAGGACAAACCACACTGCCCTCTGCATGCTGAGTAGCCTGGCTTTCATCTGCCCATCAGACAGAGAGATGAGTGAAGACTGTGAAAGCTGTGGGCAAGCTGCTGCTAGTGTCCAGTGGGCCACACTGCTGCCAGCCTCCAGGTAGAGCAGGAAGGCTGGCAGAGCAGAGAGCCCCTCCCCATAACCCTCATGAAGGCCTGGGGCTGGAGGCTGAGCCTGTATCCATCACCTTCTGCACCAGGAACCTGCTCACACCCTCTGTTAAGAGTAGTGATGAGAGAAGCAAAGGTTATGTGAACAAGTACTAAAAGGAGCTGCCTGGAAATTAAAATTCACAACTAAAGAACCACCAGCACAATTTTGGCCACTTGCCAGTTCTATTTGGATGAGAAAACTTTCTGGCAAAAACTGCTTTCCCTAGCCATGAAAATCCCATTTTACACGGTAGGAAAGAAAGTACACAAAAGGCTGGACCCTATACACTTGAAGCCCAGAGTAAAAGAAAATCTCATCTTGAAGCAAGAAGCCCCAATGCCCTGAAGATGTCCAGTAATGTCCAATGTGCACACCACTTCTGTCCATTAAACTTTAGCCTGTAAGTAAAAATTTTGATTATTGACTTCAAAAGAAACCATAGGAAATAATAATACTCTCTTAGCCACCACCCACCTTTGAAAGAAAGAAGACTTTGATACTTTCTGATTAATGTGTCACAGTTGAGACAGCCATGATACACAGAGCATCATCATAAAAATTCAGGAATCTTCAACCCATAGAGAGTTACACTACCTCACTTCAGAAGGCTGCAAGCATCTGCCCTTCTTGTTCTTCAGCCCAGCCTTTTATCCCCTCATGTTAATGCATTGCACCTGTGTGCCCTCTGTTCCCTTTGGTGGTTGGGCAGTGCCTGGGCACTCCATGGCTCATTGCTGTCAGTGCTGCTCACCTGCTGCTCACAGCTGTGCCCACTGGGGATGGGGCTCAGCCCCGCTCCCAGTTACCACAAACTGCGTGCCTACATTAATGAATTAAATAAAGTTTCTCCATGAATTGGGAAATGTCATAGAGTTCCCAATTAGTGCTGGCTTGACTTTGTATTGTCTCATTTTTGACTGTTTCTCTCTTCTAATATTAATCCTATGTCATTCTAAACAATACAATAAAGCTCTCAAACTGACTCAGCATCAAATCCAGTCTAATGATCCATAATGAACAGTTACTCACAAAAAAAGAGCTATAGCTGTAGAATTTTGAATGTTTGAAACTTCCTTGGGTCTCTGAGAATGTAATTCACTATTTAGCAGGGGACAATACAACTGAAACTTCATTTGTGTTAGACTGACATGAAAACTATGTAATTTAAGTTAGCAAAGTTGATGGTGTGCCGCATGCCATTTTGTTCAAATAACTTGAGTACCTGAAGTTTTCCTTAAAGGCACTATTTCTATTTTCTTAATTACTATTTGATATGATTTCTTCAACCTTTATTGCAGGAAATGGAGTTGAAAAGAGGCAGTGAACTTTTATTTTTCTTAGGCAAAGCAGGAGATTCAGAAATATCATTATGGCAAGCCAGGAGTCATAATCTAGTTGATACCAGGGCTCTGCCTCATGCCCATCAGCTTGCCCTGTGTTCCCAAAGACTTGGAAGTGACAGTGGTGGGGTGGGCACATCGGGGAAGCACACCCGGGGCCAGCCCCACCATGGTGGGTAGCAGTGCCCACCAGACACCCTTTTCCAGGCTGCTGATCCAGACTCTCCAGAGGGCATCTGGCCGCATGTGACCTTCATGTAAACTTCTCTGGCAGGAGTGAAGCAGCAGCAGGTCTATCAGGGACACAGAGGAGAATGAAGAGGGAGGGAGGCCAGGAAAGAACAGAGAAAACATCAGGCAATTTTTTACAAAGACTTCTGCCTTCTTATTGCTAAGCTCTATGTGCTTATTTATTCACATATCCAAATTATATGTAAATTAAGACAAAATTATAATGCTTTTCCTGATTTTTGAATGTTTTCTATTTTTAAAGTATCAGTCTGTTATTAATTTTCCCCAAAAATTATTTCTGATGAGCCAAGGCACATGTTAGATTGGGTGCAAGGCAGCTACAACAGGAATGTCCCAGGGTGGGTGTAAACTAAGTACGTGTTGCACAGATCTAATGATATTACAATGGCTTTACATGGAGGACTGCAACCACAAGATGCTAAAAGGAATTTCTACCTTATGAATACCTGGCAACCTCCTAATTAAATCTGCAGGTCTAGAGGAAGACAGCCGGACCTAGCTGCTTTGGATCTTTTTTCTTTTTTTTTTTTTTTTTTATAAGGAAAGATAAAATGAAGCTTTTTTATTCACCCAGCCCAGGACTGACATATCTTCTAGATTTAAGCTTTAAAATTCCTTACAAACCAGTGGGAGAGGAGGTGCAGAGAGAGAGCCCAATCTACCCTATTACCTCACAAATACATTGATCATTTTGAAGTATCACAAGCAGGTTTCCAAGACAAAAGCACAGGGCTTTGACTTTTTCTTATCCAAATAGAAATACTTTATCCTACTTTCAATCATAACAACTCAGATTAATGATAGGTATAAATTACCAGTTTTAAATTCTTATTTTCGTTACATTCTGGCTCACCAACACATGTTGTATCTTTCCTTTTCTCCACATTGGGACCCCCAACAGTGGTTTTGAAAGGATTGATACTCACCTGAAAAGGAAGAAATGTTTCATCTACCATCTGCCATTGTTTTCCCTCTTGGTCAGTTTATGTGCACAACTAACCATCTGCATAATCCACAAGGTTTTCAGTAAGCAAGTAGTGGTCTTTCAAGGAGGCATGGCCTTAACTTTAAAAAGTTTTATTTCCCCTCAGTAAGACCAATAATAAGCCAGAGACTAACCTTGACATTATTTATTTTCCATTTAATTCTATTCAAGAAAATGAGTAAAGAGTAAACTCACAAACACAGATAAAAAAAGTAAAATGTTAATGCAGACCTTTTCTCTGCATAATCCAGCTGTTTTCTTCTGTGTTGTTTCTCCCTTGAAATGAAAGAAAGCAATTGCTTATGCTTACTGCTTGCCAGCTACCCTACCCAAACAGCCAAGAGAGAAAGGGGAGGTATGGTGAAGGACCAAAGGAAATGAGAATTGCATATTCTGAATTACCTGTCAAATAAGCCAGAAACAGCTTTAAGTTAACATAAAAAGCAAAATCACAATTTTCTGAACACTGATACACAGCAATGTGCAACGACACAGCAAAGGAAACCTTAACTCTCATTCAAGATATTGTAATCCACTTCAAGAGCCCATGTCCCAGATTTTGCATGGAGTGCCTTAATTAAACAGCTATATATACCTGGGTTTCCTTTGTTGACTTTGTCAGAAGTAAAGGTTAGGGCATATACCTTGATGCCAACTCTATCCTGTTTCCCTAAATGCAAAGGGATGTTAATTGGGATCTTATTGAGTTTATTGTATTGAATCCATCAACTGAAGTTTGCATTGAGACTTATACACAGTTATTCCTTGCCTAAACTTGTTAAACATCTATTTCTACCTACATTGTTAGGTAGGGAATATTTTCCATCCTGCCACCAAGATCATCTGAGCCTCTGTTCCCACAGTAATAGAGACTAAGAATGGGAGCTGCTGTCCTGGTGCAAAACTGCACCTCACATGAAGTATAAAGAGCAGCCATGCTCCCACAGCTGCACAACCCAAAGACACTAGTCAGAGCCATACATCAGTTTAAGTTTGGAGCCTCTCATTTGGACGGAATCATTATATAGAGAAGTCTCTGTTTGCACAATGAACACATTCACACTTGTTACTACAGCCTGAAGGGGATCTGGGTCACTGTTTTCCTATCTTCATCTCAATCTCAAGAGAGGCATGAGATGAAAAGGCTGAAACTCAGTCTCCTAAGTGGGACTGCCTTGCTTCATTTTTTAGAAGATTAATAAATTAGTAACTAGTAGCATATTTTTCTTCTTCTTTCCCAATAATATAAATGCATCTAGTCCTAATATCCAGCAATAAGTCTATTCAGAAATACCTTCACATATTTTTTAAACATGTCAAGAACACAAAGATAGTAGTAACTCTACAACTGGAAAAATTACCCATATTCTACATCCATATGGTAGAATAAAATCTTTCCATCAAGCATAAACCTTATTTAGTCACGACTCAAGGTATTGTGTCAGAAAGCAAGGCAATATCCTAATTCCCAACATACTGAAAGATTACAGCAGGAATTTGAGAAATGGGATACTTCTGTCAGCCACTAGTGAGCTGAGATCCTCAGATGGAGAAACACATAATCTCCAGGTGTTTTGGTCTAGCACTGGACCAAATGTTATGTTGTTAGAATAC